GGGGGGGGGGGATCATTTCGCTGTGGCCACATTTCGTTTTAAATCAATATTATTCGTCTCTGCGCTTGTAGTTCTGATTGTTTTTCTCGCGACGCGACAACCTTCCGCCTTATTACTTTCGCTTGCTGCTGATCTAACAATATCGCCCAAGTCGCGCGGTCGTAAATTGCTGCACGATTATTATGTTCGATGGGTGGAAAAGAGGGGTGGGGGAAAATATTAACTGTTGCAAATTATCAGTAGGTACTCACTGCGCAACCTTTATATGTCCTTTTTTGCGATGGTGAGAAGGGTTGTGACTAATTAGGAGTGATTGATAAATGGACCATATTTTTTAATGAGGACCCACCGTGTCTGGCGTATTTCAAGAGTAACGTGACTTCCATTAATTTGCCTAAACAGGGAGGTGGTTTTAAGGATGATTCAGAAGCGATTGCGCATGAGAAACGCCTTCACTGAGAAAAGATACTTCCTAGCGTGGCCTCAGAGGCTGAATAGTTGCATCATTTAAAAATCCAAGCGACACTTCAGCAGGCACGGAGATTAGCGAGTAATTCTGTCGCTTAACTTAAATTTGTAAAGGCTGTCGATGCGTAAAAAATGCATTCACTGAGAAAAGATACTTCCTAGCGTGGCCTTAGAGGCTGAATAGTTGCATCATTTAAAAATCCAAGCGACGCTTCAACAGGCACGGAGCTTAGCGAGTAATGCTGTTACTTCAATTAATTTTTTAAAGATTGACGACGCATAAAAAACGCCTTCACTGGGAAAAGATACTTCCTAGCGTGGCCTCAGAGGCTGAATAGTTGCACCATTTCAAAATCCAATCAACACTTCGGAAGCACGTAGATTAGCGAGGAATGCGGTGCTTCACTTGATTTTTTAAAGAGTAACGACGCGTAAAAAACGCCTTCACAGGGAAAAAATACTTCCTAGCGTGGCCTCAGAGGCCGAATAGTTGCATCATTTAGGAACCCAATCAACGGTGTAGCAGCACGTAGATTAGCAAGTAATGCAGTTGCTTGGCTTATTTTTTTGAAAAGTGACGAAGCATAAAAAACGCCTTCACAGGGAAAGATACTTCCTAGCGTGGCCTCAGAGGCCGAATATTTGCATCATTAAAAAATCCAATCACAGTTTAGGAGCACGTAGCTTAGCGAGTAGTGCGGTAGAGTAACGACGCGTGGAAAACGCCTTCACAGGGAAAAGATACTTCCTGGTGTGGCCTCAGAGGCCGAATAGTTGCATCCTATAGGAACCCAATCGACGGTGTAGCAGCACGTAAGTAATGCGGTTGCTTGGCTTAGTTTTTTGAAAAGTGACGAAGCATAAAAAACGACTTCACAGGGGAAAGATACTTCCTAGCGTAGATTCACTGCTTCAGAGGCCGAATAGTTTGCATCAATGATAAACACAGTCATTTAAATCATTTAGAAGGCGAAATTCTTATGGATCTGGGCACGAAGAGCGTCTGATGACGAGTTTGCTTCTCGTGCAAAAATACTTCTTGCCGATACAGCATTTGTCTTGAAGCACACTCATTCACGTTATTTAGCGTTAAATCATTGCAGTAACAGTAATACAGCAGGACATAGATTTCATCTCTTACATCGTAATCATTTTAAATTCCTCCTTTATATTCGACCATAAATCATAAATTCACCATGGTTATGCTTTTTTTCCGTATCGTTCACTTTACTATCATACCGTTTCTGTTTATTAATTTGTTTTGTGGCGGCGCCGGTGGGGGGGGGGGGGGGGTGCTACCATTTCTGGACCACCAATGCACCTATCTGCGTAGGGAGACTATTGGCGCGTGCTTTGTTTTTAAATAAAATTACCCAGAAATAGAAGCGTTGAGTGAAGAAAGGGCATTTCTTGGTTGCATTGTTTCAGAACCTCCTGTGCTAATTTTTATTTTAGAGGGATACTATTGGGTGAATTTTCTGAAATTTTACATTTTCAGCACTGTAAAATCATAAAGAATATTCAGTAAATGTTACAACAAATTACACCCATTTACTGTAATCATAATGGGTGAGATGTTAGTGTAGATTTTGAGACGCTGCAACCAAGACGTCGCCACCTTCCGGTCGAAGTATATCATAGGTAAGTGCCATATGCAGCGTTTAAAATTTTCGCCGCCATTTTATTTTCTCACTGAGAAATGGTTCCATGAAGCTGTCCAAAAGTTTCACTGAATTTTCTTTGTGCTACCGATAAAATTCAGTGCAATTTTCAAACAAATTCCACTGACGATTTTTCTGTAAAAAAATAAAATGGTGGCGGAAATTTTGAAACGTCGCATGACGCTCGTGATACTTTGGCCGGAAGGTGACGACATGTCCTTCCTGCACCCAGCGATTTAATAAAGACCCTTAATACAAAATGTAGTTCAAATATAATCTAACAGGTTTCTAGCACTCCCTCTCAGTATGGTTTTTGTCTACCCGTTAATAAGTGAATTCAATTTATCGCAGTGTGTTCATTCCCCCTGTCTCCATCCAACCCGCAGTGTAATTTTTGCCCTCTGCTCGTGAACATAGCAGATCGAGAAAACTTCGCCTCGCCAAAAGCGACTCCAGTTCAAAGTTCCTTTACCTCTACGGGACAATCTCTCGCCCTCCGTATCGAGTTCCGAGTTCCACCTAACATCCAGAGCTTTCCCCGTTCCGAGGAAGCAGGGCAGGATAAGATACACCGTTGCAACCCCCTCGCAAAACCACCCCAAGCCACCCCACCGGCGCGCCGAAACGAAACTCCACGACGGCAACGCCGAGGCCTAATCCATTGGGAGAGCTGCGCAGGGCAGCCCTCCCGAAAAAAAGAAGGGAAAAAGTTTGTCCACCCCCAGTTGCAGTGACCGCCCCGCCGCGCGGAATATAGCGTCGCTCCCATCAGTGGCGAGGCGTGAGATCGATATATCCCCGTTTAAACCTGTGGTTAAAGATCGATTGTTAAGGTGTTCGTTGCGAGCGCCCTTTTATCGATCCTTTTCCATTGGTTTAAATGGCAGATCGATCGATATATCGCAGAGCATGCCGTGAGACTGGCTCCCACGGAGACTCCTTGGGGAGAGGGATCGCTCTGGCCATAGCGCATGTCTCCCCTCGTACAAGTGCCGCTGCTCCTGAATGACAGCCATGAACAGGGAGCGAACAGGAAGCGCCGTTCCTTGAGACGTCGGTGTGGGATGCCAGGCGGAGGGTGGAATACTCGGAGCCTCGTGGATGAGCTACACGGTTAGAAATGCGGGGATACAATCGGCACACAGTTAAAAATACACGCTGGACTAATTGTGTGGCTAGGCGGGATGTATCGCGGGAAACTGAAGGCGCTTCATGGATGAGCTACACTACACGCTTAAAAATGTGGGGATAAAATCGGCTCACAGTTAAAAATGCACGCTGGACTAATTGTGTGGTTAGGCGGGATGTATCGCGGGAAACTGAAGGCGCTTATTGGATGAGCTACACAGTTAGAAATGCGGGGATACAATTGGCACACAGTTAAAAATACACGCTGGACTAATTGTGTGGCAAGGCGGGATGTATCGCGGGAAACGGAAGGCGCTCTAAGCCGAAATCGTGCTCTTGAAGTTCGCTGCCAATGATTCTTTACTAAGTTGATGCGAAGTGTTGCAGTTTCAAGCTGACACACATCGATGGCCAAAGTGCGGTACCGCGTATCTCCTTTGCGATGTTTAAAAATCTCTGCTCCTGTTTTATTTTTTCACAGGGAGACGAGCCAACTCTATAGCTTAAAATTGAAACAGAGTATGCATCTAACAGAGAAGAAAAATTAAGCAAGCTTCTAAGAAATTATGTTGAATGGTTTTCCGAAGAAAAAATAAAATATGATAAGAAGTCTACAGCGTCGCAGACGGTGATTTCGCATTTTGGCCATCGATATGTCGCTCACATATTACACTTTTACTAACTGTGGAATACAAAAATTTACCAATTTATTTTGTCCCGCACGGTTTAAAATTTCCGTGTTAATGATTACTTTAGGGTTACTTTTAGTATCCGCGGCTTCCTCGGCTATAGTAGGTACACGGCCACAGTGCAAAATTACGTATTCCCTCTTCGATGTTTTAAACTTTCCGAGGTGCAATTTTATTTTTTCGGAGAGAAACAAGTAAAACATATAGCTTGAAATTTATACAGAATATATTGAGCCAGCAGAGAGGAAAAATCAAGCACATTTTCAAAAAATTCGTTCCCTAATTTTCCAAAGAAAAAAATCAGGTATGACAGAAAGTTTGCAAAGTCGCCACTGGAGACACGTAGTTTCGCACTTTGGCTATCGATGTAAAAAAAAAGTGTTAAGTATCGAAAACTGAAAATCGATATTTTTGCTGATACATACCGATTTTTTTGCTGCACTGCACACTTTGAGGCACAATTTTGCCAGACTCCGTCACTGTAAGGAAACGAGAGAGATTCGGAATGGAATTTTCAGTCAGCGGTTTTCAACGCGGAGAACACTCTAATACTACCTTGCTAAGGAAGAACGCCGTATGAAAATTCGAAAGTTGCCAACTTGTCTTCGATAAAATGTTTATTTTTGAGAAAAGTTATGAATATTTTTCCTTGAAATTTTCAGGGACTTTAAGCGAGATTGTGAACAAAATTTTCTGAAAAATTGGAAGGAAAATATTCATTAGTTTACCAGGAAGTTCGCGTTTTACCAAAGAAATTTGGCAACGCACGAAGGCTCATACGGCGTTCTTCCTTAGCACGGCAGAATGGGTCTCAGATAGGGCAGGATGAAAGATTTTTCCGCCTGGGTGCTAAGATGCAGTATCACATCTCTTAAATCTATAAATGAAGGACGATAGGCAGCTCCGGTAACTTTCAGGTGCAATTAGGTACTGTTTATTACCTCATCTAGCCTGAGAAACCTCTCCTATATTACCATTACTCTTCCAAGGAAGATTACAGTATGAATGAGAAAAATGCAGGTCTTTATGATACGTTATTTCTTTTTTATTTCTCACTCTACACGTTTGGAGGAAAAATATCTTGCCAAAATTAAAAAAAAAAAAAAAAAAAAAGAAGTTAAACCCCATCCATTTGAAGAACGACGCCGTGTAATCGTTAGCGAGAAACACGGTTGCCTCTCATGATTCTTTGATAAAGAATGACAAGTGACAACGCATATGAAACGCCTTCACTTTGAAAAGATACTTCCTAGCGTGGCCTGAGAGGTCGATTAGTTGCATCATTTCATTTGAAAACTCAATCAACAGTGCAGCCCGTGTAACAGCGTGCATGAGGTTGATCGGATAATCCTTTGAGTGACGACGCCGTGGAAACGCCTTCATTGGAAAAAGATACCTCCTAGCGTGGCTTCAGAGGCCGAATAGTTGCATCCTCTAAAATCCAATCAGCAGTGAAGGGGAGTGGGGTTTTTTGCTCTATATTTAACACGATAGTATCATTAAATTATACTCGGCATCGCAGTGCGATTGTGTCAGATAAATGTGTGGAAATGTCAGGCCGTGAAAATGAATTTTCTTGCCGGCAATAGATATTAGGAATTTTTGCGAGGGCGTAGTGCTACGTAATAAGCTTTCATCTTATCATTATTCTTACATACAAAGTTTTGAAATACGTGACTGATACACACTACAAAGAGACCTCAGCGATAGAAATGATGGTTTAACGATGATGAATTCTGAGATACGGTCGTATCTAATGCGGAAGTTCGAAGTTCGCGCTCTTCAGTAGCGCCAGCTGTCTGCCAAGGCGAAAATCGCAGACATCGCAGAAATGTGAGGACGGGAGGGTGCTGAGGAATGCAGGGGGGTGAGGTGACTTGTCAAGTCGCGAGACAAGAGTGTCAACAAATCCGATTCACAATGAAGCTTGAAGCGATCAGCTAACATCGTCCGATTCTCCTCCTTAAATTATGGAATTACTATAGTGGTTGTTATCAGTGTGTTTACAGCGAAGCTCAACTTACTGTTTGAATAGTGTTACAGCCATGGCATCCCTAGCACTGTGCAGACAAGCATTTCGTGGGTGTCGCAAATCCACTCTTTCTAAGGTTCCTGACAACTGTCAACTCCTTATCAGCTGCAGAAATTTCAGCACTGCTAAAGTAGGTACCGCATGTTGTAGCTTTCAGTTTCGTTTATCATTCATTATCGATACAATAATGGGTTTATCAATCAACTTTGATAATGACAACAGTGGACCAAGTCAAGGCCCTCGTTCAATCATGCACAGTTTTCCGTACATTTTCCCCTGCTTATCCATTTCCCGAAGCCTTTTTCAGCCGCAGCTACAGTTCATGCACTCTTATTTCTCTTAATTTAGTGATCTCACTCTCTGTCCAACCATGGGGGATGAGTTACCTAACTACCATGAGCTTTGTGAACTTGGCCTTGTGATGAGGTCAGATCAATCTATACTTAACTACAATAGTTGTTCAGCATCATCTATTTTCAGTTCTCTAAGTTTATCTTTGAGAGACCTTGCACCTTGAAATTCTGCTGGGCAGATTTCTCATTCTTGAGGATTAATTTCATCTTTAAGGTACTTGCATACCTCATTGGCTGGCGCTAACTGGTGAAGCCAAGGGATGAGTTCCCAATGATAAGAACTTCGGGGACCTGCCCATCTCAAATTTTATCAATACCATGTATAATTCCAGATGCATAAATGTATTATTTCAATCATGTATACCCGGAGCAATAGATAAAGATCGAGCTTATATATTATTAAAATATTATGTAGGAGGTTATGCTATTATTTTAGACCACTCATCAAGCATTCACCTACCCAAGACTTTTTTTTAGACCTCTACAGCAGAAACATTCCTGAGTAAATTGAATTACCTCAAAGGTGTTAGGCATGTCCGTCAATTCTGCAATATGGCCTAACCTTTTCTCTCATGAGTCGTTGAATTTAGCCATCTGTAAATTGTTACCATTCGTTAACAACAACATAGGTTAGGTCTACTTGCCTTAAATTTGGAATAGATTTCGAAGCTAGTTTGATTTTACAAAGCTGATGAATCAATTTACCTCTCTCTCAGACTTGTTTTTTTCAAAATTAAAGTCTTCTGGCCACCGTGCAATGGACGATTCCTCAGTTAGAGTTGTCTGTTTATCTGCCATGTCAAGCAAAAGCTGCAAAACTTAATTCTAGCTTTTAAGAGTGTTTTTCAGATAGAATGCTCCTTCTGTAGAAAACCTGAGCATGAGCATTATTCATTCTATTTTAGGTGTATACTTCATATCCTACAGCATCTCTTCTGCAAGAAACTACTTAATGAAGCCAAATAGAAAGTTGCCCTGAAGCTGGTTGTTGGAATTTTGTGGTCAGCTTGTATGTTTGGTGGTTCTATTTGACTCAACTTTTGGGTATGGTCCTCTAAATTTTGCTTTTGTCTTTGCAGAAGCCATCTTTTGGACTCCTTTTTGATATTGATGGAGTCTTGGTCAGAGGAAAGCGGGTACTGCCCTTTGCACCAGAATGCTTCAGAAAGCTCATTGATCCGAAAACAAAGAAATTCCGTATCCCGACCGTTTTTGTCACCAATGCAGGGAACGGATTATGCAAATCAAAGGCAGAACAGCTGTCAAATTGGTTAGAAGTAGAGGTAGGTTGCGTAATATCAAGCACTATGTTCAGTCTTGGAGTATGTTCAAGTATTGTATAGAATATAATCTCTTCCTCTGAGTAAGCGAGATATTTAGACATTGTTTCCTGGTTATGTATCTATATCTGAGCATTATATAATTTTTAAAAAAATTGTTCATCTGAACTTGTTGATTGTGAACTGTAGGAATCATTCCATCTTTTCTGGAAATTATCCTGGGAAACAGGACATTTAATATTTAGGATGCCACTAAAGTTCTAAATGATAAGAGGAGTAACTTCACTTATTTTCATCAAAAAATAAGAAATTATTTCCTCCAGTTACCTCTTTACGAGCAGCATTCTAATTTGACTCTAAAGTAACCCACAATCTAAGTTGTAGCACAATCAGGAAACGTTCTTAAATTTGAAATAAAAAATTTAACTGTAGGTACCCTAGTAGCAAATTTTCTTAAAAGAAAATTAAAAAAAACTCTAAAATTCCCAAGAGAAAGCTAAAAAAAAAAAAAATACTGTCAAAATATCTGAGTCAGTTAACCCTATTTGTTCTTTTTTCTGTTAAAGTTCCACCCTGCACTTCCACAAGTCTTTTATCACCTTAACGTTTCACACCTTTTTTTAAAGTGTAAAATTTTACCTAAGTGAAGTTTGGGTGATTTTGGAATCCAACATAATCAGCAATGAGGAAGAAAGACAAAAATCATGAGTAGGTTTTGTTGTTACGTATTCCGTCGAATGAATTATTATCTTTTTTCTTTGGATGGCTAGAAATATCTTTCAGTGGGTTTAATTTCAAATTTATCTCATCAATAACCATCCTTCACTTTCCAGGTAACAGAAGACAGAGTTGTAATGGCACACACCCCATTCAAAGTTTTCGAAGAATTTCATGATAAAGTTGTTTTGGTGTCCGGCCAAGGTCCACTGAATGAAATTGCAACGAACTTGGGTTTCAAGAAAATTGTCACAATTGATGACCTAAGGAAAGCATATCCTCAGTTGGATGCTGTCGATCATAAACGAAGAGCTTCCATGGTTGGTATTTTTTATCTATTTTAAGTCAAGCCTCATCATTTTAAATGTCTATCTGGGGTGCAAATAAGTTTAGGGAACCAAGTACCCACTTTGCATCAAAACTGTATTCAAAATTCATGCTGCCATGGTATTGAAAAACACAGCATAACATTCAAGAGTTGCCTAATGTCCCAGGATAAAACATATTTGTTTTAGGAAAGTTAAGCATATTTTTTCTTGAAATTTTCAGCTATTTTAAATCAAATCAATTGTAAACAAAATTTTCGTAATAATTTTAAGATAAATATTCCCAATTTTCCCAATAAGTTTGTTTTTCATAGAAAGAAATATGGCAACGTTGGAAAGCTCATACAGCGTTCTTCCTTAGCACAGCTGTATTATTGTTTTGTTGTTCTAAAGTTACATATTGATGAAAAAATGAAAAGAACATGTCTCTTGATTATTTGGTTGTAAAATTCCTGTTCATATTTTATTTTTTAAAGTAAATGTCACTCGTAAATTATAGAGAACATTTTCGAAGTGGCAAAGAATGATCAACCGCTGTCCTTCGAATGAGTTAAAGGTTACCATAAAATCATCCATGCCGGAAATTGAGACAGGCGCATCCGTCCACTCTTTTTGAATTCACAACATGAAAAAGATGAAAAAATCATTCCGCCATAGAAATAAGGCTTCTGTGTAATTCATGCATGTTATTTAAATCTAATTTACAGACCGAAAAAATTGACCCCAATTTTCCTGCCGTTGAAGTGGTATTTTTACTCGGAGAGCCAGTGAGATGGGAAACAACACTGCAACTAGTCATCGATCTTCTCTTAACAAATGGCGTGCCACGCAAGTTACCAGATGAGTTACCATATCCTCACATACCTGTATTAGCTTGTAACATGGATTTGCAATGGATGGCCGAAGCTGCAATACCTCGGTAAATAATATAACCTTTAATTAGAATCATAGCATATTTATAACATTTTATAAGCTTAGTAGATTTCTCTGTAACATTTCAAGAATCTCCTGACTCAAGGAACTAATTTTTTTTAAGAGTCCTGAAGATTTTTGACAACTAAGAACAATTCTTTGTGAGGATTGAAGATGCTCTGGAACTTCAGCAGCACTAATTTTTTTACCATCAACTTTTGCCAGCACACCCTAGTTTTAGAATTGAAAGATTAGTTTTAAGGTGCATTTTACGAATAAAGCCCAGTCCTGTTAAAACACTAGTCCAGATGCAACGCAACCTATCTTTAAAAATTTTGGAAATTTTTATTCCATTCAAACTAAGGCTTTTGTCGAAGCAAGAAATAATCAATCAATAAGAAAGTGGACTATTGCTTGTGAACAGCAGCACTCGAAAACATGTTTGTGCAAAGTGCACCTCAGTATATTTCAAGACAAACACGTTTGGATGAAATTAATATTCAGACAATGTACCTAAATGTCAGTATTTAAAATGAACAAGTAAAAAATCGATTATGGATTTCAGAAGTCAAGACTGGAAATTCCAGTTTCTTTTTGGGCTCATCTGTTTTTACACAATTTACTCAAGTCTTGGTTTATATCAAGGCAAGCCGCAGTCTTTTCCAGCAATCTGATTAAACAAGATTTTTACGATTGCCCTGCTCCTCTGAAATCCTGAAAAATATCGCATATTGGGAGCGGAGAGTAGTTCCAAATTGAGATGGTCTTACTCATGATAAAGGTTTTTTCCTTAAAATTCTTTAATGTTTTTTTTTTTTTTTATTATTATTTTTTTCAAGAGAATACATCCAGCAGAATTGAACTAAATTGAGCCTAAATGGTAAAACCGTACATATTGAATGAATAATTAGATGAGATTAGAATGAATAAATAAATCTTGTCGTACCCCTAAATCTGAACAACTCTTTTGAAGTACGGTTGACTTTGATAATTCAAGCTTATCAAGTAATTAAGATAATAATTGATGGAAGATAACACCGAATGATATTCAATGCATTGTAGCTCACTCATCCCACCCAAGAATGTATCTTTCTTTCCAAAACACAAACATTATTCAAAAACATGAAGAATGAACTCACAAAATTTTAAGTTGAAACATCATTTATTTTTCTGGAAAGAAAGAAAAAAATGAAACGAGAGAAAGGCCAATTTTGGTCAAATTCGTTCCATCCGTAGTTTGGTCAACACTATGTTCAGTAATCAGGAGTCTATTGTATTGCTGTGTGCCTAGGGAAAACACGCTATGAGCCTTTAGAGGTTGTCAAATTTCCTTTAAAAACCACGAATTTCCGGGAAAATCCAGAAATTTTTTCTCACATTTTTTCAGAGAATTTTGTTCGTTATTTGATTCGTTTGTGAGAATTCCAAGTAAAAAACATTATACTTTCCCTAAGGAGCAAACATTTTATTGGAAGATATGTAGCAACTTGCAAAAGTTCTTGCGGTGTTTTTCCCTAGCACAGCAGTGTTTCATTTTTATATTTTTATTTAATTTTTAGAAATAGTTTACATTCTTTAAAAGGAGGGTAGTGTTTCATTTTTATATTTTTATTTAATTTTTAGAAATAGTTTACATTCTTTAAAAGGAGGGTTGTGATTTTTTTATTTTTTAAAAAATCAATTTTTGACGTTGTATTGCTGTAGGTTTGGACATGGAGCATTTTTATTGTGTCTGGAAAGTCTGTATCACAAAATCACGGGAAAGCAATTGATCTACAACACGCTCCTGGGAAAGCCAAGCGAGATCACGTATCAGTATGCTCATAAGTTACTCTTAGAACAAGCCAAAGACCTTGGTGTAGAACGGATGAATCATATATATTGTATAGGGTAAGCTTTGTTTCATCATCTCAATTTCCTCAATTTACAATGATTGCTTTAAGTTTCTTTTCCTCTCCATTCTAAGAAATAGTTGATCGGTTCCTCTAGAATATTGTCTACCTAAAAATAGATCCTTGCTCGAAGAAACTTTGATTTGCCTCTCTGTATTTTATGCAGAGTTTAAAAGTTAACAGATGTGAATATAAAATCCCAAAAGCAAAAAATGGGTTCTCATGTAGATCAAAAGATTCTGTTTTCAGGTCAAACTTTTAAAATCTGCCTGGGCATGTAATCTCAATAAAAGGAAATGTATCCATACCTATTTTCAGATGAGATTACAAGTCTGCTAAGGGCTTTTTGTTCAAAGTTTTTACTTAGGAGCCATGTCAAGTTAATTTTGAAATTTGAATTGGTCATCAAGTCAGACGTTTGTCCCTAAGTCCTCTTTGGTTTTGGAGGCTGAAAGTTATCCAATGGGCCTGTTGCAAACTTTTTCTAGAGCGAAAATAAGAGTTGTTTCCAATAGAAAATGTCTCACAAATCCTGATGCTCCTTACTACACAATTTGCGTCTTTTCGAGCTTCCCGTCTCAAAAATGATACCACGGCACAGGTGAACATCTCGTTAAAGGAGTCATTCCATCCAACCCCTGCTCACAAGGATATTACGCAATATTCATCATAGCTAATGCCAATCCGCCAAAACCCATGTGACAGCACTTCGATTCCAACCACCTGATAACAATCAGCGTGTTTACATTCACATTTTTCTCGCGTTGATAGATATCCGCCTTGATTGACCTCGTGCTCTCCTCAACTTGCGCACGAAAGCGTCGGCCATGTTGAGCAGGGATTGAAGGGAACGACTCCTCTAACGAAATGTTCACCTCTGCCGTAGTATCCTTTTTGAAGCGGGAAGCTTAACAAAATGCAAATTCCTTACGCAGATTGTGAAGTTAGAAGTGCATTTCAGAGTTTGCCGATGCGCACATTGTGATTTTTGAGATATCTATACTAATAAAGCAGACTTCACGTTGATTGACTCACTCACTGACTCACGTAACAGCGGATCTCGTGAACGGGAGGCCGTGTGACCCTGAGATTCCGCACTGGGATCCCTCTCTACCCCGAGGCGCCGGATAAGGGAGGATTTCGCGATCCGCCCGCCGGTTCGCGGGATATCGCGGTCCGCGCGGGTCGATTTTCCCGTAAGGACAACGGGTGCGAGAGAGAGTGCGAGCGAGATGGAGCGATTTCCGCGTCCCGCGCTGGAAGACAGCTGATAAATTTTACGTGTCTTCTTCTGGTGCGCGCAACGGGTGCGAGGAAGATGGAAGGAGGTTGGCGTCCAACGAGTGCGAGGAAGATGGAACGAGTTCGGCGTCGCGCTGTTGGAAACGCCGCGCCATGATTGTTGCGAGCTCCGACTCGTGCATCCGTTGCCGGGCTACTCTCTCAGGGATGTGAAAATCTGGAAAATCTGTCTATGCATCGGCATAGAATAAAGAGACTGACGTAGTCTCTTCATTCTATGACATTGGTTCGCGATTTTCGCGATTGGTTCGCGCATTGGTTCGAGTTTTCTTCCGTTTTTTGCAAGATTAGTGAAAAATGTGCTCTGCGGAACCTTTCGTTTCGTTTTGTTTTTTTTGTTTTTTTGTTTTTGAAAAAATTTACCTGCTCAAGTTCGAAAGTAAAAAAATTGTTGTGATTTAGTCTTCACGTCGCCTGGGGTTACTTTTTGTTACTTTTATCTTCTGTTTTGAAATGATTAAGGCAAATTCTCGGGAAATTTTGAGAGAATCTGTTGCTTGGCTTCAAAAATAAAATAAATAAATCAAAATGGAACATAAAGACGGTGTGCAACGCTTCAATCGGAGGAGAAGCGGGGGTTTCGCGCGCATTTCATCAATATTTGATTCCGATCGTGGAGGGCGCTCTTGATACAACTATTTCACCACGGAAGATGTCCAAATTGCCGCTTGCTAGATTGAAGGAGTTCTATACTGTGATGACGGCTCGGTCACACTGCGCAGTGCGCCTGCAGACGCGGTGCTGACAGCGGAGCAAAACTAGAACATCGCTTCGACATTCTTCACCTGCTTTCTGTTTCTATCATAGTTTAACCAAAACACATGAGTCTTACTTGCAAAATTTTAAATCATCGCTAATGCTCTTTTTTTTTTTTTTTTTTTTTTTTAAATTTCAAAACATTAAATCTTATATAGGAAAACCGATGGTTACATCCCATAGTTCTCGTGAAATTAAGATTGGATTCTTCCAATTCGTCACTTTTAACAAGCAGAATTGAAGCGAGAAACTATTTGAACTCCGGAGTGGGTATGTGGTATCATACAAAATTGAAGGAAAATCATACGTTTTCGCACATCTCAAGTAACAGATGTTTATGAGTTTCATGCGCACATTTACGTAATCTTAATTGAGTCAGAGACTCGCGTGTATGCCACGATATTGATGTGAATAACGCGCAATTGTAATGATCTTAAAAATTCGCTAGGAACACGACGTATTTGCCGTGATACCGTGGTGATTATCGTGTTATTTCTAATTTGTTTTACAAAATCCCAGGAAAAATCAAGTTTTCTCCGCGATGTAGATGACAAACCCGCCATTGCTGTGAATTAAACGAAACCGCTGGTTAAATCCCGTAATTATTTCGCGGCTGAAACTCACCAGCTAACTTCAATTAAACATTGAACTGACAAAAGTAACAAATCTTTATGAAAATAACCAACTTTTGATTGGGAATTTTTGATTATTATAATTATCATGTGAGCTTATTGCAGAACAGACCAAAATAGCAGCATACTACTAATATGAACTTTTTAATCAAACCAGTGCGTCTCGCCAATTTTGAAATAGTAGATAATAATTCAGAAACACAATTAGTAACTGATCACTAATCACAGTGATTGCTGATGGTGGGGTTTTCCTGTGCGTAGCACGGGTTTCCTGCTAGTCATCTATAAAAAACAGCTCTTATTTTTGCTTTAGCAAAAGTTTGCAACAGGCCCATTGTTAAAATCGGTAATTGAATCAATTGCATCAATTTTTTTCATGTTTACAAGACTATCTAATGCAGAAATCTTTTTGAGAACGTTTTTAATCGGACGTATTTCTATCAAACGGACCTAAGCGCCGTAGGGTGAAGAAGGTAGAGGGGGGCTTGGATCAGCGGCAGAATCGGGCGTCCGGCTTATTCCGTCCTATACTCGCAATGCTTTTCCATGGCGCTTAGTTCTGTTTGACAGAACGCGCTATCCGGCATTCTAAATTCCTCAAAAGGAACTCAAATTGGCGCTTAGTTCCGTTTGATAGAAATACGTCCAATTGGTCATATGTGCATAGAGGCTGCATTCAACTCAGTTCCCTCTAGCATAATTACATCCAGTTGCTCTATGTCTTACGTTGTTTGTGATTTTTTTCCGCTTCAGAGATAACGTCAATACGGACATTTATGGTGCAAATTTATACAATGAATTCCTGACAAGTTTAAGGGACAGGAAGCCAAACAAAAGAGTTCAAGACATGATTTTAGCCAAAGATAAATTTGACTCTAGTGCTCTTGTCAAATCAATTGATTCCTGCCACAGTATTCTAGTGAAAGTAAGTTTTCTTATGTTGCGTCTTAATTATCTGTAACGTTACATTATTGTGTAATATTGTACATCTTGTTTGTTTAAAATAATGTAAACATTTAAAACTTAGTTCCAATTTGATTGGTAAGTCTATTGAGTGACTGCAGTTTTATCTTATGGTCAACAATCAACCACTGAAAGAAAAAAGTTGTCACAGCCCTGGAGCTCCTGCCTTCTGGATCCTGAGCCAGTCGCTTTGTGCTTCTTATCGTGACTCACTTTGTGAGCTGTTTCGTCCCTGTCATGAACAAAAGGAATGAAACAAAAAGGGAGAAAAATAACCAGTGTAAAGAAACAGAGTTGATAATCTAGTTTAAAAGACCCCCAAAAGTTGAAAATTGATTGGAAAATAATAAATTTTTGCTAAGTCTGGTAAATATTGTTAAAAGCTCAAAGAGTTCCTCTTTGGTAACATTAAGGCTGAAAGGGATTACGTATAGAAAGAAAGAAAAAAAAATGCTGAAGAAAAATGCTATCAAGTCTGTGAGCAGGGAAAGAGAAAATAACGTTAAAAATGATATGAAATAATAATTATTAAAGAGGAAATACATAAACCATCCATGAAAATGGGAGATTGTTGCAAAATGTTGGAAACATCGCCGCATGTATTATAAGAAGAAAGTGTAAGTAGACCAATGAATTTGTTACTGAAAGAGAAGAACATGTAAGCTAGATAGACCATTAGTCAGAAGTTTAGAAATGATTGAAACACATTGAAAAGTGTCATGACTCGATGCGGTGCAATGCTATAAATTTCAGTGCTGCGCACAAATCTTTCATGTGCTCTTATGGTGAAAGACAACTTGCTGCTTTTTAGGGCCTCTCGTGGTCCAATGTAGCTTTTTCGAAATTTTATGACTTGGTAACTGAAATGGATCTGAGCTTTACTCTTACTAAGTTTAAGGGATATTGCCTCAAGGGTTTTTTCGTCAGAAGTCTATAATCTATCAAAATAGTACCTTTTTATGGATACTTTTGTTTTTTAATTAGACTAATCTAAAACTTGATCTGTTATCTCAAGATAACATTTTTGTCATTGTATCTTCTTTCCCCATAGCATTGACCGCCTGAATATTCAGTAATTTTCTCTTATTTTTCCAGACTGGTGTTTTCTCCAATGAAATCTTGAAAGACTCACCAGATCATTCGCAGCGTGATTTCTTAATGATCGGTGATCATTTAAGGGAAGCACACTCTGTCATTGACAACGTCAACATTGCAATCGATGAGATCTTCCGGCGTGAAAACTTCAGTTAATCTCAGATGTGATATACGAGTAGTGAACCGAACTTTAAAGAAATGCTATTTTCTTACTTGTTGAATATTAATAGCTAGTAAGCAAATGTACCTGATTAATTTTTACCCATCTCTGCGAGCAGCTGTAGTTGGATGGAATCATTGCTATTCTATCTAAGAGCATAAGAAATACCCATGGAGCTTGTCACCTTGCACATCTCTCCTACCCAATTCAGCACAGAGTTAGTGACTGAGGCATAAGTTGGCCCTTCCATCCAGCAGCACCGTCAAAAATTCCTGTCAATAATTTGCTCTTGGTTGAAAATGCTGCCATAAAAACAATTTATCCCCCAAAAACAGGGATATTTGAATGAAAGTATGGTGGAATCAAAGAATTAGCCTAAATGCCTTTTCACTTTAAAATTTAGGTATAGCCGAGAGGGGAATTTTGAGTGAATCATTTTTTTCTGAAGAGAGCCGTCTCCAATGTTTGTAGTTCTTTACGGGTTATCAGGGCTAGAATTAATCTTTTTACAAGTCTCAATTGTTATGAATTCCTCCCGTTTACTTCGAAACAGAAAGCGGACAGAAAAACAACTTCGATTTGCACAGTTGTAAAAAATTACTATATCTCTTTCATTTTTCATCAAAAATTTGGCACTTGAAGTACCCTTGTTTGGAAAAAAACTGAATTAACGTTATGGGAGGGTGTATTTATTTGTTGTTTCAAGGAGAAAGTAAATTAAATCAATTTAAAGACTAGAAGTGCAAGGCTGTCTGAATGCAAGTTTGTTCCTTTGCCCTGAAACAAAGCAAAATAATGTATGTAAATTTAAGGAAACTTGATGTTATGAATATTCCATCCAGCGCTAGTCGTCAAATATCATCTATGTAGCTTCATTCTCGTAATTTTAAAGAGAACCTATTCCCTCTTCTTAACCTTAATGTCGTAGGTTAGTTCAGTGTCTATGTGGCATCAAAGCAGTTCGAGGTACAACTCATAAATTAAATATAAAATTTTAAGTCTACAACATAGTTGAACATATATTTACTCCTAGGCTCTGAAATTAATTCTGAGAAGAATAGCGCAATTGTTCCCAGTTGCATCAGAGCTCTGTTAAACGGTAGGTAGAATAGATTGCAGAAGTTCATCCCCATAGTATAAAAAACTAAGCAGTGGCAAGGTGTGCTTTGCAATGTATCAATGGATCTGCCATTTAAAGCTTTGGGAAAGGATCAATAAACAGAGTGTTTGCAACGAACACCTTAATAATCGATTCTTTACCATAGCTTCAAATAGGGATGTATCAATATTCGATCATTCACGCCATGTCACAGAAACAATGGTAATATTACTCCATTTGTCGATTTATTTAAGTCTTTATGATGCATAAGCTCAAATGTTAGATGTTTATTTTTATATTTTAGCTTATTTATTGTAAAGGAATTTAACAATACTATTAGCATCAGCGCATGGTTTGAATGGGAATAATCCGGAATTGATTTGCGAAGAGCAATTTTTAAGCTGAGTTTTTAATCTTCGGAAACTTCATAACAACTCAACAAGTAAGAAAGTAATTGACAGAGGGAGAAATAAGGGCATGTGATTAACAGAGAAAAAAAGAATTTTTGCTGTTTTTATCCACTGTATTTGTAGCCTTTAAAAAAAAAGCATTCGGAAAAATCTTGATCTTATAAATTTGATCATCTCCTCATTTTCTCTCTTTCTTTCCCCCTCTCTTAGAAGAAGTTCCATTTGTGTTCTTAAGTTAATTGGATGAAGTCATTAAATTTTTTTCTCTTTATATCAGTGCCCAGCAATCGGTGCCAAATTTTTTTTTAAGGCTATGAAGACTTTCAAAAATTGTTGGATTCTTTTTTTATTTGGTAACCTGTTATTTCTTATCCTGCTGTATTGTCTCTCCTACCGTCATTTTCAGGGGCACAGATTTCTGTGATTCACAGCTAGCGTCTCTATCTTTAACTAAATGTAAGAAAAAGATATGTTAAGTTTCATCAGTCAAAATTGCAGACTGTGATATGAGACCACAAGGAAGTAACATAAGTTGGCAAGGAGCAGTTAGCTTCCTAGAACTTTTTATTTGAACTTTCCATTTCAATTTTTTAAGTTCGACAGTATTTCAAATCTGCCCTATTTAATCTTGAATCTAAATATCTTCAACTGAGCTCTGTGAGCCAGAAAGTAACCCCTGTCACATTCTCTCATTATCGATCATGTAGGTAACCAAAAAATTTTGAAGGCATACATTTTTCTCATTTTCCTCTTGTACGCTAAATCTTCCTCTAATCGTCGAAAGTTATTATTAATTTTGTATATTCACTTGTTATTGTTGAATTGAGTCATTATCTTGTTGTTTTTTAAAAAAACCATGGTTGAAATGTCAAACATTTCATTTCCGTCATTGTAGGCCTAGCTGGATGTAATGACCTACTGGATGTATTGATCATCAGTATTTTTAAAATACAATTGCTAGACGGCGAAACAATGGAAACAACTAAAAATGCTATTCATGCGAAGAAGAAGAAAGCACTAAAACTATTGCAATCCAACACTTTCTGAATTTATTTATTTGGTGTCCTCAAAAAACACAATATTCCTTTGTTGGGTGATATTTTTGCATTTTTCAAAGAGATTTTGAATAGAAATTCTGCGTCTAAAATCGATACTAAAAATTAAAATATTCATTTCCTGTTCTGTGTGTCTGCAAATGAGAGCAGCAGAAATTCAAAGAGCACCCACATCATCGTGTGGCTGCCAAGGAAAGTGGTGTGGTCTTAGTTTTAGTGCCTTCTTTAGTAATCTGTATACTTGTAATGTGTAACTATATCAGCAACAACTGTGTTTGGAGTGTGCCTGAATTTTCACAGTACACTCTTGATAAACATCATAAGCTTTACTCATAAGAGTGGGTGTAATTGTAGTAGAGTTAGAACAACTTGGAAGAGGGTAAAAATGATACTGAATAGCAACGGTATCTATAAAGTCAGTATTTATAAAATACTGCACTGCCAGTAATGGTTATTATGTACGTTTATGTTAATTAAAATTAAAATGTATACGTTTGTGATAGCTTTCATTTCCATAATGAGGTTCTTTTGGATGAGTTCAACCAAAATCAGCGGAACCACATAAGATGTTGCCTAATTTTCTCCTATGCTTTATTTCTTGAATAGCAAACTGAGCAACACTGCAACTTGAAATTTTCTGTGTTCACTTCTTATAATCTAGGGGGAATTCACAGAATTTAAAAGTACTAAGTCGTTTAGTTCTCTGTCAAAAAAATAAAAATGAGAGAAAATTAATCAATGTGAAATTTTGTTCGGTTTATTTCGGTTAAATCCGTCCATTTCTACTTAGTGATGCACAACATGCAAAGAAATGAAGCTCTAGTTAATTTTTATGAAGGTTCTAAAAATTCCCATCTTCACAGTCGGTTTTTTACATCATCAGTATTGATCAAAAACTGCAGAAGCCGTCACAAAAAAATGAACATATTCATCATTGATTTTTACCTGTTTTGAGCTGAAGTTCGTAACAAGGAAGAACGAGCAATTGAATGGAATCACAGCATGAATTTATTTAAGTGGTTTCTTTTACTTCGATATTCATCCTTTGAAACAGGAATTACCTTGCCAAAATTGTAGGTTTTAGTTCCATACATTTTTTTTGTTCCCTATCTTCTACCTCTTGCCCGGTAGGTTTTTCCTGCTGTCAGAGACATCAATCTGAAATCTTTACAGGAAATTTCTTGGTCCAAGATAGCTCTTCTTGTCCTACCAAACACTTATCAAAATCTAGCACTGTCAAATAACTTGCTTTGATAAAAAATGGTGTTTTTCTCTTAAGGCAAGAAAATGAATCTTGAGGTTATGAGAGACAACGAGAACTTGCAAGTAATGTATTGTAGATCATAATGCAGCATAGTCTTTCATTTACGGAGAAAATATTCTCTTGCTTCTTGTAAATTGTTTTCCCACCAGAAATGATTGTACTTTTTCTTAATTGTTATTCAGTTCTAAGTTTTGGAAAATAAACTTGACATATGTAACTATTTGTAACTTATTATTTGTTACTTTGTAAATATGTGCGCTCATCTGTTTTGCAGAAGAAATTTCTGCAAGGTCAGGGAGTGAAATCAATGATGGAATTCTTATCGAAGTAAAAAAGACAATATTACAATATTTTGAACAAAACTTTGTCGTGTAATGATCTGTTTTCTTCCTCGCCACTTTGATAAATTTTAATTGTAAAATTATAGCTACAGAAGAACAAACGTGTTATAATTATGAAGCGTCCATGTCATGAGCTGACTATAAGTCTAAGGCGGCCAATTGAAAGCTTAAAATCCTCACACAAGGGAAATAGCATGTGTACACGGAAAAAGCATAGATTTCTAAAGGTCAGCTTTTGTTTGATAATATGGAAAGCCATAAAAAAGTATGGTTACGTAGTATTTCTGGCACGAACCAAAAAGAAGCATTCAGGGTATGCAATTTCTCCACATTGCTTGGCATATTAGCTATTGCCTTCCCGCAAAATCTTAGTTCAATTCTGCTTTTTTTGGCTCATCCCAGCAGTCTATTTTCCAAACTCCAATTTCTGAATTATCTTCGTTATACTTACAATGAAAAAATTAGCTATTTGTGTGTCTGAGGAATTAAATTTGCCTTTTTTGAAAATAATATCTGTAATGACAATGTAAAAAAAGAGGAAAAGATGAAAGGTGGTAACGTAAGACTTTAGGGAGACCCTTTAATAGAGGAATTTTTTTTGGGATGGGGGGGGGGGAGGTGAGCTAAAGTTTCCCTTTATTTCAACTAAGAATAATTAATGCAATAAAGTACATTCCTCAAAAAAAGTTGGAAAAGATACCCATATCAGAAACCGAGTGTATTTAATTTTTATATAATAGTTGTACACACCCATAACAGTGTCCTTATAGTATGCTGCCGTGTCTTAAAATGTCTGCTGGGTTTTTACCATTGCAGAATCCTTCGAATTTTAGATAACCTATTTTATCCATCTAAATGGATGCATATAAATCATTAGGAGCGATCGCCAGAGTAATATGGGCTCTGTGCTGCATTTAGTCTTACAAGAATCTGGGCCTCAGTCACAATTGAGATAGTTTCCAAAGAACTAAATAGGTAGATATAAATGTGGAATAAAATCATTAGAATTCTCAGTCTAATGACCGCAATGATTTGCCTGCAGGAAATCATGAAATTGCCTGCGAGCATTTTGAAGCTCATTGATGCTGATACGCCTCCGCAAGGTTCAAGATTTTAACGTTTATTAGATTGTTCGGTTAGAAATCCTAGTCATGACTGCGATCCCAATATTCCTATAACAAAAGCCAACTAATGCTGACTCGATGTTAGAGACATGAGGAGGAAACTGCTGCACCCTACCTATATGTGCAGTTTTAAAAAAATTGAGGTATTAATGATTTCAAGTAGAACTTGTCTTAATACATATTCTGTGAAAAATTCACTCCCAAAGTCCTATTTTTAAGCATTAAAAAGTGAGTTTAAACTTTCTTTCCCGTGTCAGGATCCATGTAATTTCCGTAATTTCGAAAATTCTTACATGTATTTCCCGAAATAGCAAAACTGCACCTATGCGCCTTGTCCTCCAAGCCTTTTATTTATTTTTTGTTTCATATTGAAACAGTGTTACGTCTAAATAAGCGTTTTNTGGGGGGGGGGGGGATTTCTCTATCGGTTTACGTCCATTAATTTACATACTTCCATCTCCTCACTATTTTTTTGCGTGGATTTAAATTTCCCGCTCATCAGATGATATCGTAGAATTTTTTCGTTGAGCGGTGTTATTCGTTGTTCTTTGTTGATAACATTTTAGAGGTTATCTTATATCTTAAGTTGTTTGTCAAAATTTTGTGCTTTTAATTTCTTCCTCTTACGTTTTAAATCTAATGTTCTAAACTCATCACATAGGAATGGCTTTGAACGCAGCATGCAGGAGCTCTGTTCTCAAATGGATCTCCACGCCAAAGTTGAACTGGTAAGTCTATGACTTTTTGCAATTTCAGAAGCAATTAGGTTTCAGCAATGAAAAAGATTCAAGATGTTTTCATTAGATTAGAAAGACTTCTTTGCTCTGCTGACCTATTGTCAGTAACATAATGAATCACAAATTTTCTTATAAGGCTTTGTTGTCAGAAGCTATTTTGACAATGACCTTGTAGGTATCGGGCAGTAATGGTTCAGCGTAGTGGATAATGGATTTGTCAGATCGACTGGATCACGTTACTATCATTAACCAAATATTTTTTTAATCCATTGTTCCGATAGAGGAGAGTAAGTTCTTTGGTTGTCTTATACTCCTAGGGAAAATACAGTATGTATGTAGCTCTCACCGAATTAGGAGAGGTAAGCAACAAGAGCTTGCTCATCGATTGCTAAAAAAATCACTGATGAATTCTGAATCTGTCCTTCTCAGCAGGTGAATACATGCATTTGCTTAGATGGCACCATTAATAAGTGTTGATATAAGTAAGACTTGACTTTTGTTTCAACATACTATGAACGAGTTCTAGAACTTGTGAAAATCATAGACCTCTGTGTAACGTTAAGTAACCTTTTTCAAGCATGACGATTGATGCACTAGCCGGCCAGGTTGGTCTAGTGGTCAGCGCGCCTGACTCTAAGTCAACATGTCCCGGGCTTGAGTCCCGGTAGTGGTGTCAAATTTTCTTGGAACTGACGAGTAGATCTGCTGAAACAGATCCTACTTGGCCAGAAGTAGGAGGATGTAATGAGTGATTGCCCTAAAATGAAATTTTGAAGTAACTTCCTAACTGACTGTTGATAAGGATTAATTCACCCTAAGTAGTAAGTATTTCCCTTTCTTTTCTTGATGTTATTTTTTCTGAATTCCACATGTCAAAGATAGGTATGAAAAACTTCTGGTATGAGTAAATATTTTGTTTGCGTCTTTAATTTTTCCTTTTTCACAGGCTGTAATTGAATTTTGTCTCGAGTGAAGATGAATATAAATTATCTTTTTTTGTAGGAAAGCAGGTGCGCCTTTAGCTAGCACTGTTGGAAAGCAATCAGAGCGGGGATACGCAGTAGACCCTACGAAAACCCTCGAAAAAACTTCATTACTTCACGCTGAGGAGAAAGAGGTGGTTGTTACCGTCAAAGAAATTGTAAGTCTAAATGTTTCCGGTTTTAATGAATTCTCAATGGTATTTCCACATAACGAGCTTCAGATTTGAGTATGGGTCGGAGCATTGCATTTTGTTCATTTTTTCTAGAAATTCCACTTGGAATATATGTAGATAAAATTTGTTGATGCATGCTTCTAAAATGCTGGAAATCAACTTATGACTGTGTCGTATTTGCAATTAATAGTCCAGGGTTGCCACTGTTAGGGAATACCGGGAATAAAAAGTCATGGAAAACCTGGAAATTCTAGGGAAAATTTCTAGAATGGGTTTGACGTTTCGAACAGTAAATTTTTCCTGAAAACTATTTCAAATTATTTCTTTTTTAGCATCTGGCATTTCCGCAATTATGAGGGAATTTTACCAAAATATGACGGAGAAATCAGGGAAATTTCAGAGAATTTCATTTTCTAAATTCTGTGGCAAACCTGATTAAATGCTGATTCTCTTGAGAAAGAAGCCTTTGGGCTGTCCTCCCTCTATTATTCTATGTTATTCACACCCTGTCAGTATGTCAAAATCTCAGTGATACTTATAAGAGTTCATTGCAGCAAGGGTGTAGAGACTTCTTGCTTATGCGATCATGATCACATCAACATCAATTGCTCTAACTCTCTCACATTAGCTTAGTAGTTTATTTTATGCTTTAATAAAAGCTCCCTGTGAAAACGGTGGTTGTGGTATTCTTTTACAACAAACATATATTGTTGACATTTGCTTCAAATTCAAATTCCTGAAGTTCATTTTCTAGAGAATTTGCTGTGTAATTAATTCCTTGACCAAACTCTTTCTGCTGCATGGACATCAAAATACACAACTTTGAATACTTAGAAAGCGATTTTCTCAAAACGTAAATACTTGACATCCACTGTTCAAACATATTTGGCTTCATATACAATTGTGGTGCTTCTAAGTTAGCATCGCTGTTTTTAAATTAACCTTTTCCTCTTTTTTTGCGTGTAAAAATTCTGGGAAAAGTAAAAGAATTTCAGCGCCAGTGGTCAGGGAATTTTCTCAAAAAGTTAGAGATAGTTAGTGAATTGTGGGGCTTGGAGGACATGAGTATTAGTGCAGTTTTTGTTATTTCGAGAAATATGTGTTTAAAGTTTTGAAATAAGATGGATTCTTGTAGCGAAGAGAAAGTTCCAACTGACTTTGTGGTGTTTAAAAATTGAAATTTGGGAGCGAATTTTTCACAGAATATGCATTAAGATTAGTTTTACTTGAAATCATTAATAGTTTATCTCAAGTTTTTCTAAAACTGCACTAATGAGTCTTGTCCTCCAAGCCCCTCAATTCAGAAATTTGATTGAACCTGCAACCCTGCTAACGGTTTTTCCCAATCAACTGATTTTCTGTTACAGGAGGATCTATCACCTACAACTGGTGTCCCCGAAGAACATGTGAAGACAAGGCTTGTAAAGATTTATAGTCCCTCCAAGAACCCCATGCAATCCGGCACACACAACACCGGTCACTGGCAAATGGAATTTGATACCAGAGAACGATGGGAAAATCCCCTCATGGGATGGTGCTCCACGTGAGTTTGACAAAATTAAATTCCTCCTCCTTAATTTAACTCTCCCCCTTAAATATTTATTTCAATGAAACACCTGAACTGGTTAAAACTTGAATAATTTAAGAACAATGTCCCAAAAGCTCCTTTTTTTGGACACACGATAGCAGAATGCTAATTGTGTTTTGTGTAGCATTAAAGTGCTGATAATAACCGACAGAACAAGACCAGCCAGCATGAGCACTGTACGTCAAAAATTGACCAAATCACAATATTTGCAAAAGGACTAGTCGAACTGACCCCTCCAGGATTTCAGCACTTTTTCTGGAAGGAAAAGAAAGATTTAAAGATTCAAACGGTTTTATTAAATCAAATCGTACCAAGATTACTACCATTTACTCCTCTTCACTGGACGACCGGACCCTTGTTTCCTTTCCTAACAATCTTTTTTTCCACACAGTGCCGCAACTGTGTTTCCCACCGCTGCAAACATGTTTTTTCGAAATCTTCATTCCCAAGGTTGTTTAAGAAAGTTTTAACAGCTCTTTTGATTTCATTGACTAAGTTGAACCTCATGCCTCCTAAGCCCTTCTTCAACAGAGGAAAAGATCCGAAAGTCGCAGGGTGCGAGGTCTGGACTGTACAGAGAGTGCAGAAGGCAAGTCCATCCCAAGTTTATCCACAGTGTTCTTGATGAACTAGGCTGTGTGTGATTAGGCGATGTTCTAGTGCAGGGGCCATATCTTCTTCATCTCTAGCTGCCTCTCGACAACATGCTTAAGCAGTGTGATCAGTACAGAGTAGTCAGGTTGATTGACTTTATGTTCCAAATTCCTTTTGATCTCACCATTTCTCTGTAGAATCTTTGTCTCCTTAAATATTTGTTCTCTTTTCAAAAAATAATGCTAAAAATCCTCAAGGGTCAGCTCGACATATCATTATCAAAATGCTGCAATTCAGTCAATTTTTGAGCTAAAAACCTCAAATTGGTCTTGTTTTACAACTAGCATTTTAATGCTACTCAAACCGAATTTTAATGCTACTCAAACTGCATTTTAATATCTGCAACCATTATCCGAAAAAAGAAAACATGCAGTACTTTTGGGACACCTATTGCACTTAACATTTGTTTTCACATCCAAAGTCTCAGTAGAATAAGTTGGTCAAACATGGTTCAAATCTAATTCACAATTCGATGACCAAAGTGCGAAAGGACGTATCTCCGTTGCAATGTTTCAACATTTCCGCTCCTACCTACCTCTTTTTTTTTGTGAAGAGAAACAGGCCAACTTCATGGCTTCAAATTTTTACAGAATATTCTGCTAGGTAAGGGTTGAGAAAAATCAAGGAAATTTTCAAGAAATTATGTTGACTACCTTTCTGAAGAAAAAATAAAGCATTACAGGAAGTCTACAACGTCACGAACGGAGATACGTTGTTCTGCATTTTGGCTATCAAATTGAGAAATCAATGCTCTTCTTTTTGATGGATATATCAACGGTGTAAGTCCGCAATCACATATCTCGTTTACGGTGTCTGAAAATCTCCTCCTCTATGTTATTTTTTTAAAGGAGAACAAATTGACATCATTCCTTGAAGTTTTTGCAGAATTTTCTTTGCACAGAGAAGAAAAATCATGGTAGTTTTAAAGAATTTTCGTCGAGTAGTTCTCCGTTTAAAAAAATAAAGTATGACAGGAAGTCTGTGACGTCGCAAACCGAGTTATGTGATTGCCGACTTACACCGTCAATATGTTGTCCAGATAGGTTAATGATAGATGAATGGTTTGTTCTCTGCTAACTAAAGTACCACTTTAAGACAAAAATCTTGTAGCTTATCAGGTATGACATAAATTTTGTCATCTTTTCATCAAAATAAACTGGCTACTCTAATAAATTTATTTTTTACGAATTATACCTCAAGTTAGGTCTCGAGGTATACAAGTCTCTTTGTTTCCACTTTACATATAAGGTGCATTGAAGTGAAAGCTTGTATAGGTTTGGATAAGCAGACTTGAATTGTTGTTTAATTTTTTTCAAATATGACTTTGTTTTTTATTCAGTGGAGATCCATTATCAAACATGAGTTTGAAATTCGCTGACAAAGAAGATGCCATATTCTTTTGTGAGAAAAACGGATGGCGCTGGTATATCGAAGCCCCGAAAACGAAGGCACCAAAAGTGAAATCTTATGCACACAACTTCGCTTGGAACAAACGAACCCGCACCTCAACGAAGTAAATTTGAAGAGGTATCGTTGAAAATTTCGTCTGTAAATAGAAATGTCGTGAAAAATCTTTTGTTGTTATAGTGAGAAACTTTTGAAGAATGAACATTCTCAAAAAATTTCTGTTTTCATGGAGCTTTACCGACTTGATAATTCATAAGTAAATATTACTTGAACTCAATAGTAATAATAAATTATGAATTCATAATGATAAGCCATTGAATATTATTAGCTCACACTATATCGCATTGATTGTTGTTGCACCTTGTTATTTTATTCAATAATATAATCCTACGCCTAGATTGTTATTTAAGTCTATTTATTTGAAAATCATATGTATGAAAGCTCACTCAAAGGTTCCAAGATTCCTTTGAGATAATTCATCAGAAGAAGAAAAAAAATATTGTATGGATACAGTAGTTGCAATTACGCTGGAGGCCTGACAGTTGGTGGCAGCATCGAAGTCTCCCAAGGTTAAAATATTGATGGCTGAACTCTGAAAAAATTCCTCGGAGAGGCCTTTAAAACTCTATTTCTATTTCATTTTTTGAATAATAAAAACACATCTTTGATGCTTAAATTGTTCCCATAATACATTTTACATAGAAATAAAAAATGAAGGATGTTTCCAAGATCAAGCTCAAATTATTTTTTCTTTTCCAAAGGAGAAATTATGACAGAAAAGAATCATTGTCGTAGAAAACGATACATGTCAGTTAGTCTTTTAAAATGACACGTGCATACTACTGCATTGAACTGTAGCACAGTACCGAAACTTATTAAAGCTTTCAAGCGTCTAAATTAACTTTCAGCGCTTATGATCAAGACAGCAGAATTTTAAGATCCAGGAGGTGTTATAACAGCTCTGAAGGACTCATAAGGCACTTCGATTATTTTTCCAGAACCAAGAAGGAAAAACCTGAAAAAAACTTAGAACAAATGAAGGAAAGTTAGCTTAGTCTGATTTCCCAATCGCAAGGGAACATATTTGTCTAAAAATTCTGATTCCCTACTTTTTAGCATAGAATTCACCCTCTGATTGGGACATGAAAAGCTGTCCCACAGTCAGTTCAGCCAGTGAATGGTTCAATGTCTTACTCAATTTGACCTCTGTTTCATCAATAAAGTTTCTCAGTTTCTCGCAATTCAATTGTCAGTAGCGCTGTTTTTGAAGAGTAATATTTACACTCATGTGCCAATTCTTGATGAATAAAGAGCTTCTCAAAATTTGTGACTATTTAAGTATTTATCTATCTTGCACACTTCAGACGGAAATAAACGTGACTACAGAATGTTCACTGATTTATAAAAAAATGAACCCCTCAACTCATTGACAACATGGAGACTTAACTTCACTGGGCAGTTTTGACCATGAGTAACATTGTTATGGAGGCACAGCAAGGTGTATTGGTATTTTAACTAAGAACTACTATAAATTTTGTCTTCTATTTATTTTTAAATAAATAAACTTTATTCCAAAGAAAAACATATGTATGCAAAAAAGAGACAACAAATAGTCTTGCATGAAGAAGTACAAAAAGGAAAAATAAAAAATAAATTAATAAATAAATAAATACGAAGTATAAAAATCGTAATTAGAAAGGAAAGAGAGAATTACTCCATTAATGACGATTATCAATATTTTTCACAGAAACTGATCATTGCATTAATAAATGCCTTTGGAAGAATCACTCTCAATACTTACTCTCACTATATATTTACATACCACTAATCCTAGAATAAATAAATCTCACTTCGGATTCAAAAGTGTGAGGAAAATTCTCCATTCTGAGGGAAGACCCAGCCTGGTTTGTCTTCTTTTTTTCTGTCAATATGTGCGGACTTCACATCGATAAATTTTCATTTGCATTCAAATTCACATAAGTATAATTTTTTTTACTTTTCAGTTAAAATATTTTTCACGAAGAAACCAATTATCTCTATTACAGTAGAATTTCTTTCACAACACGAAATGTTTCACAGCTCAGATTTAGCTATGTTGAAGCTATTGTTGGGATCACTTTGAATGATGTTTATTATTTGGCTGAGTTTAACCAGAGTCAGCCCGACTGCATTTATTGTTACCTAATTTTCTCTCCTAGCTGTTTTAAAAGAACAACTTAATTTGGGGAAAAGGCTGCAAATAAAGAAAAAGGAATAAACAAAACCCAGAACGTTTCAAAATAATAACAATTTCATTATCAACCGGAAAATAAATTAAAAACAAAAACGAGCCGTCGCTCCGCTGTAATTGGGAGACCGAGACGGTCTCGGTCTCGCAATTACTCTTTTATTATGTGTATTTTGGCTGATTAAGTTGTTTCTCATTCTCTAGCTGTTTTATTTTGTTATCAGAAAATGAAATAACAAAATGCTTTGAAACTTTCTATGAATTTGCTCTTGGTTACTGCAGGCATCCAACCAAATTTCAAGTTAGAACTTAGAACTAAACTCAAGTTAGAACTTTCAAGTTGATACTTAGTTTTCTATTTCAAGAGAAAGAAAAATCTTAAAAAAGGAAATCAGGCAACGTTTGATGTAGTTAGGCAGATTTCGGTCAAATCAAATCCGTCCTGTTTTAGAGAGCAGGGCATTTTTAAGGCTGCTTCAAAAATTTCCTCTTTTATTAAATCATGACATCCAATGAGGTAATCAAATAAATTAAATAAATTATAAAAAAAAAATTGCATAAATAACACTCGACACGGTTTATGTACATTCCACTTAATCGTTTGGATCAATAAATAACAAATCTTTGTTGATTATTATCACAATTTGAAAGCCAGACTATACAAATATTTACAGAAATTGAAGTCTCTCAGTTCTGACTTTTGACTGGCTGAGAATCCTGGAAAGAGGTAAATTTGGCCTTGAGGATCTCATTTAAAGATGGCGCGGGCTTCGATCTCATGGATATATATTCTTGAGCGTCTTCGTCTTGTGGCAGAGGTCGATTTTTATCCTCCGGAACTGGTCTGCCATCTGGTAAAACTCTAACCACCATCGGGCCTTCAATCATATAACCGTCAGGATTGGCTATTTCTTCAACGTTAGTCGAAGCAGCTCCTAGTTGATTGCCATCTGGGGTTGACTCTGTGAAAGAGGGAAAGAAAATCGATTATACATCAATTCTACTGAAATCCATAGGATACCTATTCAATGATTACTGTAACAAGTAGGTCTACTAGATCAAGCTTTTAACTGCATATCTGTGGCCGAAGTGCTAAATCACGTATCTCATCTGTGGGTTATAATCATCTGTTCATCACACATTCATCTGTTTGCGATGTCGCGGTTTTTGGAAATCTAATCTAACGTAATCTCTTGAAAACGTCCTTGATTTTCCTGTAGAATATTTTATGTAAGAATATTTGAAAATATAAAGTTCAGCAGGGCCGGATTTACCTACTTGCCGCCCATGGGCCGTTAGTATTTTGCCGCCCCCTTCTCATTCGTTTTGAAACATCAATGAAAACCATCAAATGAACGAGCCAGCAGGGGAGGGGTGCATAAGACGCATTTACTGATGTTGAACACATTTTTTGGGAAAGCCCTGTCAACACTACTAGCAAAAGTTCACGGAACTCGGCGCGAAAGTTAAGTTTCGTAAACCTATCTCTGTGTGGACAAGGCCTTCCATTCGCAAGAAATGAACGAAAAAATTATGAAAGAACAAACATAAATGTGGATTAATGATTTTAACTTCCGCCGCACGGTGTGGCGATACGGGTAAAAGGTCGGACATGGGCGATTCCGGGATTGTGAATGTTTAGGACCGGAAATGTGTTCTACGAGTATTATATTATATGGATTTGATGATAGTTTTTAAATTTTCATCCCCCATATTGATGGTACAGGCCTCTAAAGTCCGCTAAGTCGGCAATCTAAAATTTCCTCTAAAAACGCACCAATGTTTGTACATTCTTTAGTCTATTTTAACATTTCATGAGACCTTTTCCAATGACGTAATCTTACTCTATGCAAGCTGCTGATCATTTTTCACTACTAAAATGTAGCCGTAAATAGGTTTGAATACGATTTATGCCGTCTGAAAGTCCTCGCGCCGAAAATGCTGAAAATAAAACTTTATATTAACTTTCGTTCCAAGTGCCAAGGAGTGCCACGCTGAGACTTGTTGGGGCAGACCCACAGGACCCCTGAGAAGCCTCCTAAACAATTTTTAGCTGCTAATATCTGCTACTCCGACGGCAGCATGATATTATCTGATATGAAGTCGGTTGCGCGAAATCGGTTTTTATCACTCCGCGCAACCAATTGTTGATATTTCTCTAAGATCCATCACGTAGGTAAGTGTTCAAAGGTTAAAATAGGCTAAGTACGTGTAAAAGAAGTTACTGGATGCAGCAGTAGTAGTGTAATTTATTTACTTCTATGTATAGGACATTCCAGAAATTTAAATTGTTTCTGTTATTTATCATACTAATAATGAATGGTCAAGAGGTTAGAACTGTTATTATAAGTTTAAATAATGTGACTACTACTCACACTGGTTGGTATCCTCATGTTATAATAATTATAAACACGGCAATTATAGAAATTTCGAATATCATGTAGAATATCATTAAATTTCACCTGTAGAAAGTCATTATTAATAGGACTAATATTGTAAATATATACTTATTACACATTTTAGTCTGACTAATTTTACCAAAAATTAAAAAACCAATATTCATATTGATAAATTAAGCTGGATGTAGCTAATTAGCTACATATGGTAGTGGATGAAGTAGTCGAGAGTTAACGTTTCGTTTGGTCATGAAGGGCAAATAGATATGTTGTTTAAAATCTCGTTTCTTCTATTTTATTCAATTTTTTTTGTTCCTATATTAACAGCAGTATTAAGATATACAATTATGAATACGTACAATGCTGACTCATAAAGCCAGGTGGAAAGAGAAAAGGATGGCTGCAAATATTTTAAGAAGTGTCGAACGTTTAAATTATAGAAATGCATTCATTTGCGAGATGGAAATCAATGTTTTTAGTCTTCTTTAGAAATAACTTATGTAAATAGCAATTTTTCTCGGATTTTTATCACTCAAATGGTAAAAGTAAAGGCAGATTTGAAATTTACAACAAAAATTACCCTATGATCACGCTCCTTGATTCAAAATGATGCGTTTTAAAGCCACAGTTTCGAGGTGGTTCAGGAAATCAATGTTTTTAGTCTTCTTCAGAAATAACTTGTGTAAATAGCAATTTTTCTCGGATTTTCATTACTCAAATGGTAAAAGTAAAGGCAGATTTGAAATCTACGACAAAAATTGCTGCAGGAGTGTCCTCCTTACTTAAAAATGATGCGTTTTAAAACCGCAGTTTCCAGGTGGAAATCAATGTTTCAGTGTTTTTCAGGAACAACTTATGTAAATAGCAATTTTTCTCGGATTTTCATCACTCTAATGGTAAAAATAAGGGCAGATTTGAAATCTACGACAAAAATTGCCCTAGAAATGTCCTCCTTACTTAAAAATGATGCGTTTTAGGGCCACAGTTGACAACAAAACGCAAGTTGTCGAGCGCATGTCCGGGCAAACCGGCCTTTCGCCACACCGTGCGCCGCCGCGCCTCGCAGATCGCACTGTGTTTGCCGCAATGCGTGAAGTATTCGTGCAGTCTTGTAGGCGCTAATATGTGTTACATGCCGATCGCCGCGCCGAGGGCTTCTCCTTTTCATCTCAAGTCCTCGTCATCATTTCTTTTTAAGTCGCGCCGTTCCAGGCCACATTGCGTGTTTGGTTTCTCTCTAAACTCGACTAATTAAAGGTGCTGTCTCTTGCATCACTGAAAGACGACAAAAGTAGAAATTACTATACTCTCAGAAAATTAGAGATTCTGTCGCCTTTTCTCGTTTGTAATTTTTTTTTCTAAATCCGAATTTTTTTTACACCAACATTTAAAAAAATTGCTAACTTTGCCGCCCACTATAGGTTTACCGCCATGGGCCGCGGCCCATGATAATCCGGCCCTGTAAAGTTGGCTTGTTTTTCTTCGAAAAATAATTTAGGAGCAGAAATTTAAAACGACGCAATGGAGGTACTTGGTTTCGCCCTTCGGCCATCAATATCTCCTACCAAAAGAGTCAGAGAGAGTGACTTTTAAGATAAGATCATTTAGTCACTGGCCAGATTTCTAGTAGCAAAAAGTACTAAAATTATCTTCAAATTGAAAGAATTTCTAAGAGTTGCCAAGTCTGGGAGTAAAATATGTTAATCCTTGAAGGTAGGAAATACAAGGAGGTGCAGTCTCTCTGTTTAAAGTTGGTGACTATTCTTGATGAAATCATCAATCTTCGAATCACGTTTTCCTCATCATTATAATTATTATAAAAGCTTAGTGCAAAAAATTGTAGGATTTTTCAAAGAAGTCAGCTTAAAATTTTGAAAAAATCGAAAGAATTTGTTCCACCTCACTGTTAAAGCCTTTCTGCCAGTATGTCAACGCTTCAAAATAAGTTTATCCCTGGTAAAAATTGGCGATAAGAGCTGCGTTTCAAAATACCATAGGAATTCTTATAGCCGGCTAAAGAAGGCTACAGAAAATCATATAGCTGGCTACAGAATGCGGAGAAAATCATACGGCCGGGCTATAAGAAGCGATAAAAAATTATGCAGCCGGGCTAAAGTTCCTATCGCCGGGCTTTACACTTTATCGCCTGGCTGTTGCTTTTTCGCCATCCATTATAAAAGGCTATAAGAAATTGTGTAGAAATTCGTGTGCTTTGGAAATCATTAAGTTTGATATGGAACCACCTTAATATTTACAAAACACACGTTATATTTTCCTTTAATACATATTTTTTTTCATCAATTAAAACGAGAATAATCCATACAGGATGTGCAAACATTTCAAAATCATGAGTTGAATAACGCTGACTCCGCCAGATTAAATTGTATTAGAGCCTAACACAAAGCGGAGCGGCGACGCGCTGGCGCCTACAAACCTAACAGGGATACTTTACGCATTGCGCAATGCGTGAAGTATCTCTATTAGGTTTGTAGGCGCCAATGCGCGTTTCGCGCTGGCTGCCCGCCTGCCGCACCGTGCCACGGCGCTTGAAGCAACTATTTCACACCAGTGGTAGTGCACAGTATCATACGAAACTGAAGGCGCTCTAATATATTAGGAATGGCAGGCATCCATCAAAAGTACGGAGCTTTCCTCCCTATAATCAAGATACTACGGCCCAAAAAGAGAGCAGTGGTCCAAAAACTCACTAAGTAAGTCCTAGCATCCGTAATTAGTGACGTTTAGCATACACTTTATCGCCTGGCTGTGAGTTGCTTAATCGCCATCGGCTATAAAAGGCTATAGGAAATTGTGTCTCCGGCTATAGAAGCTATTGGAAATCTTATAGCCGGCCGTGGGTCTATGGTATTTTGGAACACAGATTCTACTGCCAATTTTTACCAGGGATAGAATCAAAGAAATCCCACTGGTCAATGTCGAAGTTTTCCTTACCAAGTGGATCTGCATTCGGGTTTTGAGGGGCAAGTGTTGAAGATTGTGGCTTCATTGATCCCTTCATCATTGAATCCCATACTGAAACAAAAAAATAATACAAGCACTACATTAATTTTTATCGCCTCTTAAAAAATTACACTCAAATCCCCCATGGCTGTCTACATCAATAACATGAATTTCACAAATGACACTCCAACCCCTCTTATCCTCTTAAAATAAATTTGATTTATTTCACGGTAGAAGATAAAAACGTCGTAAACTAGCCCACTTCCTTCTCATTCCGTTTTCATCTAATTTAATTAATAAAAAGATAACACCGTTTTATGTTTAAAAAAAAAAAAAAAAAAAAATCCTCCCAAGCCATTTGGAAGTCTTCAGCTAGCTGTGGTGGGAGGTGGCTTTGGGAGAATAAAACTCACGAAACGACAGTACCTAAACTACTAACTTTGGCTAAAACTTCGGAAGTGTGTTTGTGCAATTTTTTTCCTGTCAAAAATTTTCATTCTCACTATGTTGTGACCACTTCTATGGCATTTCCTCTGGTCAACAGTGCTTCGCCCAGTAATCCAATAGGTATTTTAGTCACATCACCTACCTAATTACCTATTGATAAATATATTACTAAGAATTATTTCTCGCAATATTCCAGTCAAAGTCCTCCAAAATACAATTTTTGATTTGAAACTTAATCTTGTAACAATACCTATAGCAAGTATCCTCTTTGCAAAAGGGTTTATTTTTACCGACAGTTTCGGTTCCTGAAATCTTCAAAATTGATTCTAAATTTTCCAAAGTAGGCACATGTCTTTATGGTATTGAAAGTAGGTACTCAGACAGAACTTAAACCAATTTTGGTATGAGAGGGGGAAGGGCGCTTATTTCTGCGTAGAAAATGAGAGGAAAAAACCGGATTTGTATAACGTGTCCACTGACTAGTTTACTTTGACCGAGAACTGATCCTTGGTTTTTGGCTCACTTCTGCAAAGAAAAATAGCAGAAAATAATACAGAGGCATCGAAAACTTCTCCGGCGCAACCATCAGATTTTGAATTATAAAATCAGTGATGAAGTCCGAAGCACATATTTTACATGGATTGTTATTATGGTCCTCGCTCCCTACCCTTAAAATTTTTTGTGTTTATTACGATGCTCATGATTGCTAGTTAAAATCTGTGCTGCGATTTTTACACCAGAATTCAGCTTTCGCAAAAAATACAACTTCAAAATATTAGTATTTTAAAGTTCAGTTTGTTAAAATACACACAGGTAGAAAAAGACTGTGCGAGGCTTCACATGCTAACACTTCAGTCTTCACGTGCGACACATTCAATGATGCCGATAATATCGCCTAGATACAATACAACTATTCGTACCCTATGGACGCGCGTGTTGCATGACATTAATATCTTGAGGCATAAAGTTTAGTAGATATTAATATGAAATTTCAGGAGGGGGAGGGGATTGTAGCATTACAACATCAACTGGTTTTTGGTGGATAAATGGGAGGCGTATACTTAGGCAGCATTTAAAACCAGATTTCATTGACTGCCGAGAGGCAGGGTATCAGGTATCTACTGGTCCGGTAATAGTACTTATTTGTTGAAAGCGGTCCGGAAGTACTGAAAAATTACGGAAATTTCCTACAGGTAGGGATCCGGAATTTTTTACTTCATGCCACGAGTGTCTTTTTAAAACAGCCTGGAAAACATGCAATCCGTTGCGCAATGATTCTTAGTGCAGTATTTTCCCGCCAGATCGTGATTGTGAAGCCAGTTGATCCTCAGGCCACCAATGAGCTTCACATTTCTTGGCCACGTCATTTTTCTCGTGATTTGCGCGACAGTTTTGACAGTATATCCGAATTTCATTACTTAAAGGTACCAAAAAAGTACTGAATTTTCTTGCTTAAGAGGTACTGAATTTTTTGGGAAGGTACCGAGAAAGTGCTGTAAATGTACTTAACATTTGCCAGCCAGTTTAAGTAGCTACCCTATTTATGCGACACGAGAATTCCGATTCGGAAAGTTGGCAAGTTTTGGAAACGCCTTCAATTGTGGCGTGATACCTCACGCATTCCGGAGAGTACGAATAGTTGTATCGTCGCGCCTTAGAATTGCAATGGAAGATTGACAGCCTCCACGCTGGCCTTGGCGGTTTTCCTTCGCCACTACTGGAGTTTTGACCGCAAAGACCGCTCTGATTGTGAGTCCCCGTGAACTTGTGGAGCATTTTAAACCGAAAAAGCGGACTCAGCGGGTCACTTCCAAGGGGACTAGCTTTTTTTTCAGCGCGATCGGAGAACTTTCGATTTTGACCCTCAAAAATTAGTCCATGTGACCCCTGTCGATTTTTCCTTGGGAATAAAATTTCGAGAAATTTTCTAGCGTCGAATCCTACGTTGTTTTAGGTGTGTAATCGATTGCGCTTGGTTCTGAGACTTGCCGGATGGAGCTACCTAAGCCGAGAAATGAGTGTTTTTGACAGTTTTCGAGGATTCACTCTTTTTCGCCACTTGTGAGCTCCAAGAAACTCGTGGAGATTTTTAGACTAAAAAATTTGACTCAGCGGGTCATTCCCAAAGGGACTAGCCTCCTTTCAGCCCGATCGGAGGTCTTTCGATTTTGACCCCAACATTTTAGTCCATGTAACCCCTGTCGATTTTTCTCGATTTCGGACGGGGGAAAAAAATCTCCTTCCGGAAAACTCAAAGCAAGATTGCTACAATATTCACTGGAGCAAAAAGTCTCGATCCTGAGTGCAGGCTCTTAAAAAATTTGACAAGAAAAAAACAATCTTGATTCAATCGGACTTTTACTTGAATCAAAAGGAAATCTGGTTAAATTAAGAGACAAGGCTCTCGATTCAAGCAAAAATCTGCTTGAATCAAGAGTATGTTTTTCTTGTCGATTTTTTTAGGAGTCTGGATTCTCTTTTCCAAAATTGCTAAGGTAAGCAAAATTAATGTTGCCGATAGGTATTGTCGTACTCTACATCACCTCGGCAATGTTTCGTAACAACGTTGCCACAATATTGCTTCACTGAAAAAAAATTCTCGGCGTTTTTACCAAGGTCCGTTGGTACCTTTACCATATCACTTATTTTACCAATTATTGGTAATTTTACCAAGACAGACTGGTAAGCTTACTTAAAAACCGGTATTTTTACTGTTTTTTTCAGGTAAGAATAAAATTTTTATTGGTAATCAATTCCCGGTAACTTTGCCATTTTATTTCGGTAATTCTACCACAGTCGATAAAGAATATTGGCGTTTTTACCGAGGTCCAGTAAAATTACCGAGAAAGTTCAATAGTTTTACCGAGATTTCTCGGTAAAATTACCAATTCCATAAATGGTAATTTTACCGAGAAAAAACTGGGATCAATTAGAACCCGGAATTCTTGGTAATTTTACACTTTTCTTGGTAAATACACCGAGATTTTTTTTTCAGTGTTCGAGTTGCTAATCCGAATTGGCTGCATCGCCCCTCTCCCTCCCCCCGTTCTTATGAAACCACAGCCGGATTCCCAATATTTCATGTCTTGAATATCGCACGATCTACTATTAGCCTATTAGTTGGATCGTAATTCGTAAGGTGCTGCAAAAGTCACCCATGAAGGCCTCGAACTGCGCTTACAATGGAGCGTGAGGAAGCGCCAGGCGCGGTGGAGATCTGAGTCTGCGGGTCAAGGCTGCCGGCGCGGAAGTATTAGCGCAGAGATCTTACAGTTCATGCGAGCCCGAAAAACTCCCACTCTCTCCCTCACATTGCTACGATTCTAAATGGCTTGTGGATCTCGACCAGATTCATGCGAACCCTTCCAAAACCTCATCAGGATTGCACGGAGAAAAATCTATGTTTTTTTAAACCAAATAGTGGTTCATATGGAACACCATTGTCACCATTAATACTGCCGTGATAAGGAAAAACGCCGTATGAACCTTCAGGCGTTGCCAAATTTCCTTTTATGAGACACGAATTTTCTGGTACACTTATAGATACCTCCCCTCCAATTTTTCAGATAATTTGGTCGCAATTTTACCTAAAGTCCCTTACAATTTAAAGGAAACATATTTATAGATTTCCTCGAAAATAAACATTTTATTAAAGGAAATCTGGCAACTATCGAATGTTAATACGGCGTTCTTCCTTAGCACGGCAGAATAGTCGTAAATGAACTAATGATTCTCGGTCTGTTAACCATACTAAGGTACCTCGTAAGTACCATACTGAGGTATCTGGTACCATCACTCAGGTATATGTGCTATGATCATATGTTGCTCTAACTACTATTAGTGGTGTTTCATAAGAACAACTAATTGGTTTATAAGTCATAGCTTTTTCTCAGTGTGCAGGGATTCCGGTCGTCTGGAAAAGCTGGAAAGTCATGGAAAATCAGAGAAAGTCAGAGAATTTATGGTGACTCGGAAAAGTCTCGGAAAGTTAGGGAACTTTACACATTTTTTTGCGAAAGCCCTGTCAACACTACTGGCAAAAGTTCACGGAACTCGGCGCGAAAGTTAAGTTCCGTAAATCTATTTCTGTGTGGACAAGGTCTTCCATTTATATGAAATGAACGAAAAAATTATGAAAGAACAAACATAAATGTGGTTTAATAAGTTTAAATTCCGCCACCGCGCAGCGCTGACCGCACTGTGTTTGGCGCAATGGGCGCAATGCGTGAAGTATTCCCACAGTCTTGTATGCGGTATGCGTTCCACGCTGACCGCTGCTGCACGCACTGTGACGCAATGCGTGCAGTATTCATGCAGTCTTCTAGGCGCTATGCGACCGCCGCGCCGCGCCGAGGGTTTCTCCTTTTCATCTCAAGTTCTCGTCATCATTGCTCTCTGCGCCGCGCCGTTCCAGGCCAAATTCCATGTTCGGTTTCTCTCTTAGTCTTAACTCGACTAATTAAAGGTGCTGTCTATTGTTTCACAAAAAGACGACAAAATTAGAGATATACTCTCGAAAATGAGAGATTTTGTCATCTTTTCTCGTTTTTTTTTCTGAATCCGATTTTCCTTTATAGTTACATTTAAAAAAATTACAAAATTTGCCGCCATGGGCCGCGGCCCAT